AATCCGTGCGCACGGATTTCCGGCGGCTGTTTTTCTTTTTTCACCACTGACCCCCGGCGGGCTCCGTAGAAAGAAGAAAATGAGTGCAACAGCTCAAGAGGAAATTGTTGATAAAAGAGGAAAGGTCATTTCACCAGTTTGGCAGTATTAATCAGCCTTTTTTTTCTCCTGGTCCTTATTTCAAATAGGTAAAACAAAAAAAATCAATAATTATTTATATCAGCTGATATGAAACATTTATATTGTGATATATTTTCAGCTGTAATAAAAAAGAAGAATTTGCATATTCTGTCATTATACAATCAAGAACAATGCATTGCCATCAGAAGGAAAATAAACTCCATGTTTTGAGTAGTTTTTAAATACATTTAATTTAATACATGTGAATTATGAGTCTCACCTGAGGGCAGTCTTTGATGTAATGACCCTTGTTGAAGCACAGGTGACACAGGTAGTTGGGTGGGGGACGTTTGTTGGGTTTCCTTGGCTCTGAAGAAAGGGAAAGGTCTGAAAAATGGTCCGTAAGGGAGTTGAGTCCATCCACGATGTTGTTCAGGGAGCCATAGGGCGATACATTCTTATATACATTGTTGTTTAAGGCCTACAAAAACAATAACAAACAAGATTCAGTTTCATCTTTTCATATTTTAAGACATTACACTGTTAACTGTTTGAAGTGAGTCAACCATCATGGGTTTTAGGTTCGACTTCAGATTGTGAGAAGGGGCAGAAATGAGGCCAGAACCTTCCAAGTTAATTTCTCATTTGATACAGAACATCTGGCAAAAGGCCCAGCTGTGCTGTGAAGTGGAAAAGTACTGAGCGTGTTCACAGAGAGGGACAAGACTTTACAAAGGATGACTCACTGTAAACAAGATGGGAGGCATGTTTCCTCACCAGCCTGTGGAACATCAGCAGTGTCACCATGCTCTGCTGGTGGTAAACTGGCTGTGGTCAGTTTGCAGCATGTTGCATGCAACAAGGTCCCCTGAATTCATAATGGATCCCCTTTGAATATTAATAACAGGGAAAGCACAGCTTGCAGTTCCTTTTTTTCCCCTCTTCTCATTATTGCCTTTCTCAGTTCATTTACGACAAAGAAACATAAAAGACAGGGACTGGCCTCTGGGTGAAATTGTTGATTTGAGAAGATAGATTTTTATTTCACGTAGTCTTTTAATCAGTCTTGAGGGAAATTTGCAGGAAACAGTCCTATTAATCTGCCTTAAATTATAAAGGTTTAACTGCCCTTGTAATAAATGTTTGAGACACAGCTTTTAAGTGAAAACATTACTAAGAGTGTGGGCGTCATAATCTATACTTCAACTCAACCATCATCACTTGGTCATGTAAAAGTCTTGGGTTTTTTTCTGAAAAGTAATGTTTCACAGCACAGAAACCTGAGAACTGGCAGTTCTGTCAGGACTCTGAGCCAACTCTTTAGGCTGTGAGATCGTCTCGCTAAACAGCTCCAGCTTTTAGACTCGTGTTCATTTATTACATGTAGCCATAGTAAATCATGCTTCACAGCTCTGTATCTTCTCAGAGTTTTCCATTCTCCATGTGTTTCATCTCTCTGTATTTCTTACAACTATTTTTGGAAACATACATCTTTTTTCTTTTTTTTTTTTGGCGGCTTAATCTTACATGTTGGTTCAGATTGTGAAATTATTTTAACAAATATAAAACAGAAAACTTTGATCTGTTTCTATTTTTGATTTTTTTTTCCCCCCCTGACATTGGCTTCAGACCTCGATCTGTCAGCCTAAATAAAAGAGATTTCTGCTAATGGCGCAGTGGGACTGTTTGTTCGGTGTATTTGTGCATCGGAGTGAATGAGTGATCGCGAAAGATAGTCCTCAAGAGGTCTTGTGTTGATGTAAGCGAGTGTGTGACATTAAACCAGAGTCACTGCTAGTTACAGAGTGCTGAAGTGATGTGAACAAGTCTGGCACATCTGTGGCAAACAGATCCAGGAGAGAGCTGTCACACACTGAGGGGCTTAGTCAAACACTGATTTGGTTTGAAGCAGGATTCTGTTGTCTGGTGGATGTTGCTGACAGTCTGCAAAGTCCTCCCAAAATCATAAGAACTAAAAGAATCGATTTACCCAGAATGGTTAGAAATAGTCTGATTGATTGGTCAGCTCAGCTGATTAATTAGACCACTTTATCATTGGTCATACCTGAGCACACCAAGTGGATTTAGAAAAGACATATCTCTAGAAAGCACGGTATTGTTATTGTTAACATTTTACCCACTGAAATAGAAATACCCTGGAATGTGCCTTTGCTAGTGAGACAAGGCTTTATGCCGCCATCTTGCTAGGTGCTACTGGACATCTTTAGATATTGCCAACATGGCAGCAGAACATGGATATCTGAGGAAAAATAACTCATTTATGCCAAGAAGCCCAGTGTTTTGCCTTTCATTGATATGTCAAAACCCAAACTTCAGCGAACAAGGTATTACATTTATCTTTTTTTGTTTTTTGAAAATACTAGTTTATAAGCTGTATTATTATACCAAAGGTGGTCACTTTTTCTAGATTAGGCTGCTTTAATCAATGTAAAGCAGGGTACTAAGTGTAGGCAAAGCAGCTTAATAAAAATATATTTAAATTAGTGACTTTTTTTTACCTGTTTTATGGGAAAACCTATATGCTAAATAAGGCCTAAATACTTTCCAAATTATGCGAAAAAGACATTATGTCTTCAACTGCTGTGTAATCCCTGACTGCTGAAATGGCCATATTTTACACTTTTCATTGTCAAATCTTTGCAATGGATTAATTCACTTGGCACCCACCACTTAAACTATTTCCAGACTCTGTGTGTGTTCTCACAGTTTGAAACACTTTAATCTCACGTGGACTGAATGGAGCAACATGATTGTGTGTAATGCATAATGTGCAAACTCAATTTCCAGCTGACCCGTTAGGTTTAACAACTGGAAAAGCTCTATCTGGTTCCCACCACCAGTAACAAACACCAGCAACCCTCTATGCAAAACCTGTGTGTCCAAAACGTGACCTAATGCATACTAATCTACAGTACGTGATGATTTTTTTATGTGTGCTGTGTGTATATTGTTGAAAAAGGTGGTGTATGGCTCATGTATTTTTTTTTTTTTTTTTTTTTTTTTTTTTTTTTTTTTTTGCACAGTATGCTCGAGTATCAGATTTGCACCCCACACGCACAATCAGCATATTTGTCTCTAAATTTACTCAGGGCTACAAAAATAGACAATATGTAAACAAGAGCTGATTTTGTTTGCACAACCTGGCCTATTTGAAGAAGTCAGAGACAGCAGAGCCCAGCAATGAGGGCCCTGCACTCTCCAGACAGAGCGGGGGGGGGGTTCTATTTTCATCTCTTTCACAGTTATATCTGGCAAATGCAGTTTTTGGTTTTACAATTTCACCAGTTACTTAACCATAACTTAAACAGACTCAATTTAAGGTCTAGTATTACTTAAAAGTATGCAACTCTGGCCTTTCATGTCAGAGTTTTAGAAAGAAGTGAAGGAGTTGTAGCCATTTTGGTCAAGTCTTGGAAAAAAACCACTAAACAAAATCTCATGCCTTGTGAATGATCACATTCAAAGTGTGTGTTGTGAATGACATCAAATCTTAGCTTTAAATCTATCAAACGGAATGAGTTAAAGCAATTTTTGTGTTACATAATATTGATTAGCTGTGGCAGCAATCTTAAATTAAATTGTCTCCAAATGTTAAAGAGTTGTAGGTGTTCATCCAGTGATTACTTGTTAAAAAGTTCATTAAAATATTTTTAGTAGTTCATGAGATATTTTGCTAACAGAACAAACATGGCTGACTCATACAGTTTATTGCTTATAGCTTTGAGTTAAGCTCTCACACAATCAGTACCTAAAGCTTTGGTTCTGAATCACTCTCGGCTACAACCACACCACACTTTAGCTTAGTATCTGCAAAATCTACTGAATTAGAGCCATATTTGTGTTTTATAAGGTCAGTTGGTTGTGAAGGTCGTCTGAAATTATATCGACTCCAAAAGGTAATCAGTTGTAGAACTACATTTAATATTTTTTTTCTGAAAGTTTAACTATTTTCCATCCATTGGTTGGTGAGATTTATTGCTAACAGACAGCACTGACACCAAATAGTTAATTCCAAATTTTTAAAACCAGCTTCTTAAACAATCTGGGCTCAGAATGTGTTGAGGATGAGTCTCTGCTGTACCATCCCAAACTTTATCTGTACAACTGGCAGAGCTATGCTCATTTTTGTGCTTTTAAAGTCAGTTGGCTGTTGCAGCCATTTTTAATTGGGTTGACTCCAAAAGTTAATCAGCTGTAGATGTGCATCCAATGATTATTTTCTAAAAGTTTCATTAAAATTCACCCAGTCATTCACGAGATATTTTGCTAACAGACAACAAAAAAATGATAATAAATAATTTTCAGAATCTCTTAACTTTTTTTCATATAAATAAAAATTCCCTTCTTGCATCAGTTTTTAGTGTAGCTAAAAAAACAACCTAAAAGACTCTCAGTTACTGAACTATATATATGACGGCGGCCCAGACAGGCGATAACAAATGGATTAAACTGTCTAAAATCCAGCAACATGGTGGAAGCAAGTAAAAGAAAGTCCTCGTTTGTTTGTGACGTCACGTCTTTCACCTCATTGCGCTGCAGCTGGAAGAAGTTGTTGAGATAGTTGGAGTTCAGGGAAGAGGAGCTCAGGTCGCCCGCGGCGGCAGCCTTGAGATCCGGGTGGGAAGAGTTGGCTTCGGGTCTGAACGCGTCGAACGCGCTGGTCTGGTGGGGGTCCTGCAAGGAGAGGTAGACCCAGTTGAGAAGCTGCGCGGGCTGGTACACGGAGGCACTCGTGTCTATGGCAGACAACAAGCTCATCTTTCAGTCCAATTGGGTTCAACTGGATTTTCCACCGCTGGTAGTTGTTGCTTGGAACTGGTCTCTCTCTTTTCTCCCAGTCGTCTCGCTTGCCCCCGGGAGTTTGTTTGTGTTCGTTTCTTCTTGTTTTTCCGTCGCCCTGTCCTCCACACGCCGGGAGCCTCGTCCCAGAAATGTTACTCAAAAGTCATCGCGCTAACGTAAAAGCGTAAAAAGTTTGTTCCAGCTGCTCGCCATGGTCCGCTATCTGCCTTTAACGCTGCGAGGCAGGAGCGGCGCTCTTTGAATATGCAATGAGCACGTTCTTGCGTCATTTCGGGCAAACAGCCAATCAGCGCCCGAGCTGTGTTGTTATCCATTCACAAAAGTTATCCATGTTTAGTTTAGTTTTCAGCAGAGTTGTAAAGTAACTAAGTACAAATACTTTGTTACTGTACTTAAGTAGAAATTTTGGGTATCTGTACTTTACTTGAGTAACTGTTTTTCAGCGTACTTTTTACTTTTACTCATTATATTTTTACACAATTATCTGTACTTTCTACTCACTGCATTTTTAAAAAAGGTAAGAAGTAGAAAGTCGTTACTCCTATTTTATTCTGAGTTATTACTTACAAAATACTATCCTGATGAATTGTGTCTCCTGGGTAGAGTGAATTTAATTGTGGTTGGATGAGAAGTATAAATATATACCATTCTGACACCCTAGCTGCACGCCGATAGAAAAATATTTTTTTGGAGAAGTCACCTCCCAAAAAATGTCATTTTGAAAATCTAACTGCTCACTTTTACTCAGTACTTTTACTTTTAATACTTAAGTAGATTTTGTGTCAGAAATTTAYTTTTGATACTAAGTACAAAACATATCAGATACTTTAAGACTTTTACTCAAGTAATATTTTTAGAGAAGACTTTAACTTTTACCAAAGTATTTTTATGATAAGATGCTTGTACTTTTACTCAAATATCACTTCACTATCTCCTAATAGATAATGGTTGATTTGAATTTGCACACTATATATACAAAAATAGTTTCAGACTTTAAACTCAATCTCTGTCAGGCCTGGGTCCCTTTCCAGTGTTTCCCAAAGTTGGGGTCAGGACCCAAAGTGGGGTCCCAAAACTTCAAGGTGGGGTCCTGAAAATATTTTCTGAATTACCAGTAATTACATTTTTGCCTTAGTTGTTACAAATGAGTGAGGTTAGTATATTTAAAATGGATAAATGTAGTATAAAAATATTGTTACTATGCCCATGTTTTGTTGACCTGATACAAATGTTTATCATCCAAAAATAGTTGGGGGCACAGGTCTCTGCTACTGTTATTTTGTGGGTCAAAAGCTGAAAAGTTTGGGAACCACTGCACTTTGGTTCCTAAAGTTGGGCTTGGGACCCAATTATGGGTCATAAAGCACCTTGGATAATCTCCAGAAATCAATTTAAAGGGTAATAAAAATAATTGCTGCTGTAATATTTTTCCTATAGTTATTACAAAAACACAAAATAAGTAAAAATAAGTATTTATATTTGTGAACAAGCTGTTTAGATTGTCAAAAAGCCTGTGTTTTTTGGGTTATTAATGGAGTTCGTGTACTCAGACATGTAATATTTGGGGTCACAAGTTTTTGCCATGGATATTTTGTGGGTCAGAAGACAAAAAGTTTGGGAACCTCTGACCTATACGATGGGCCTGAAGGAAAGATTGAGCAAAATCTTTTAAGCGAGGTCCCTCTTGTGGCTGTAAATACATGATGCGCAAGTTTAAAATCAACTCTGACGGGTCATAACTGCATACATATTACATGACATGTGTGCTTCAAAAATAAGGGGGTTGGAAGAGTGAGGAGAAAAGTCAGGTCCAGGGGCGTTTTCAGGCTCTTGAAGCATCAGGGGCTTTAGCCCAGACCTCTGCTTCTTCTTCCTCTTTCCTCTTTAAAAAGTGCTCTTATTTATCCATTATTAAAACCATTGTTGTCATTGTATTGGTATTTTGTTTGCTTTATCATAATTTTAGTTATACTAGATAAAATGGATTTATACATAAAATGTGTAGGATATGACATCATGTGTTGTTACAACTAATTCCTATCAGCAGTAAGGAACAGTTATAAAAACATGTTGCTGATATTTCATTTTTAAAGTCAACTAAACATGCTCTCACATTATTTGCTTTTTTATGTAACAAGGGAATATTTCAAATTGTAACCCAGGCTCCTCTGTTTATTTTTTATTTATTTTTTCTTCTAACCGACATATGAACAGCTCTTACAGAATAGTTGGGTTCTGGTGCAGACATTAGTACCACAGAGGAAAGTAAAGACACCAGATAGGAGGCTGATTGCAGCCAGACCATCATTTGATTATTGTCAGAATCATCAGTAACAGCTCCAACACCTCAACTAAACTCAACTGAGCATCAGATCATTTATGGTGACAAAACAGTTTAACTTTTTAAAAAATATATGTTATATATATATTTAATTTAACTAGTTGTATAGAAATGATTTGTAGTGATAACAGTAAGTTTTACCACTAATAATAATAATAATAATAATAATGTTGGTAATTTTACAAGAACAACTTAATTTTTTGCCAATTGCTCCCTGTTAGTTAAGCAACACCAGCTGGTCACAAAATAGAGTTAATTCATTACAAATCCTTTAAAAATGAAATGTACACCACACTAAAACACATTTAAATTTACTACAAGGCACCAAAACACACCCTAGAAATAAACACTACATTTACGGTTTTTATTGATTGCTTTGACCTGTTTGAAGGAACTGGGAACCTCTCAGTCTTCATCATCACCATCTCAGCAGAGCAGAAGACATCTCTGTGTTAACCCATTCTCATTGGACTGACACAGTTTTCCACCCTTTTGCAAAACAGTTAACGCAGATGTCATTCAAGAAGTCCAAACTCTGTTTTAGCTGTGGTTACAGAAATATGCTCCAAGCTCTAGAAACTCCCTGATCAGTATGAAATCACTGAAAGCACCTGTTTGACACTTCTTCACAGAATTTTTCAATTTGCAATCAGTCTGCAGGCCTGTGTTGTTCTCTTATACTGTAGACCTAGATTTTTGTTCTTTACTGTAAAAGACTGTGTTTTTTATTTACCTAATTTCTCACACAGTAAAGGATTTTCTTTTTATTTCCATGTATTCTCTGGAATATTTCATTTGTCAGATATAGTCTGAAAAAAATGTAATCAATAAAATTTTGCATCAAACCATATCTGGTTCTGAATGTATTTTTGCAAGAGGGTAAATTTGACTACAAACAGCACGGGCATGTAAGCTACTTACAGTCATAGGCTACAATGACAAGCAATGATGCACTGATTCACACATGAGTGCTGTATTTTGAATTGTTGCCCATGTGTAATGATTGATTGGAGGTGCTCATACATTGTGTCAAAGTTGAGTTGTCTGAAGGCAAAGTTTGCTTTTGTTCCATGTTTTAAATGTTTGGACACAGTTGTTGCCTTTTGCAAACCAAATGTGTCATTTTGACCACTGTGTCACTGTTTAGGCCTCTGCGTTAACTCTTTTGAAAATGTGGAATTTGAGTTGACGGCTGCATCAAAACAATGCAAACTGTAAGAGGTGGCCACCCCTTTACATAAACATAAAACTTTTACAGCATATGTTATTTACTGTAAATCATAATCTAAATAGTCTTTGAGTTGAACTAGATCATATTTGAAAATTGTGCCCTTATGTTGTTTTTGTTTTGGAAAGCTCTGAGAAATTTACTGACACAGAAAAAACTACAAAAGAAACCAGAACTTGTCCTACACTGCTTGGTCCAGTCTTTATGGTGGCCCTCCATCAGGAGCTGTGAAACTTCCAGTTATGGCCAGATCCTGAAAAACATGAATGTGAGACAAAAAGCTAATGAGAGACAATGTGCACCTCATCAACCTTATGATGTCATAACTTTACATTTATTATAGCTCCCACATTACATTAATTATTCTCTGTTTTGCCTGTTGGTGCACAATGTTTTTTTAAGGTTTAATGAAAAAATGTAATTTTATATTTTTCATTTGACCCTCCTGCAGTTAGGGTTAAGGTTAACCTTCCACTGTTGTACGTTTACTAATGCTGCCTCCTAGTCCATGTCTGTGATACTTTGTCTGATTCAGGTCAGCTGACACACTGTTTGCAGCCACAGACAGTTGTGTACTGTAATTACATAATGTTTCTGCTGCCCTCTAGTGGCAGAACCACAGCATCGCCTCTACAGAAAATTAAAAGGTGGAGTCAGGTTCTTTCAATCAACTTGTTCTCTTTTTTTTTCTGTCTGACCGGAGCTGATCCGTTGGTCCGGCTCAAAGTCCTCGCGGGGCTGCTTGTGAAATGTGTCTGACCTGAAATAATCAACTTGAGAGGTCATTAAACTCTCTCTCTCTCTCTCTCTCTCTCTCTCTCTCTCTCTCTCTCTCTCTCTCTCTCTCTCTCTCT